TATATTCAATTATAAACTATATCTTTATAGTATCTCACTCAGCCTCTATTAGATATTCTCGTTACGTGAGTTGGATAAAATAAAAGTATACACATTTGTTAGGCTCGTCTATACAAGCTCTATACTAATATAAATATACTGGTATACGGATTGTACATGTCGATTTTTAATTTTGAACGAATGGTTCATGTACAGTTTCGATAATCTCTAAAAAGAAAAGGTCTAAAAATGTTTCTATTATTTCCCATTACGTAGGTTTACAGCGTTTTTTTCGTTCCATTGTCACCAAAAATACGATATTTAAATTTTGTAATTTCGAATGTATCGCATTTTCTACATTAGAAAATGTCAATCTTCCTTTTCATACAAATGCAGAATACTCTTGTTCCATCTCACTCAACATGTTGTAAAGTCGTTTCTTTAGGCTGCCTGGCGCTGCCGCACGTGGTAAATGCGTCATGTCGCCGCTTGGATTAGCGCATTGTCTCAATAATACCGCCAGCGTGCTAGTGGTGTGCTCCGACATGAGCAATCCGGGAATAATTATCGTCCCTGAGAGCGTCCAGCCGAGAAAAATTTTCTCGCAAATAATCTATAAGTACACAAATAATTTTTGCGATAATAAAATTGAGATTACGCTAAAGTTAGAAACGATAACTGTAATTCATACCTTTAGAAACTTGTATTAATAAACTTGTATTAATAAATGTAATCTTTATTGTGCAATAATAGCAATATAATAAAATGATAATAATTTGTAATAATAGAAGTAATAATAATTGTGTATTATTTTACAAAAAAAAAAAATGTTGAAAACATATTTGATACAATACACTTTATTGTACATGTATGGAAAGTACTGTATATTTACAAAAGTACTAATGAGGTATGCTGTAAAAATGTAGTAACATCAATTACCTGTAAATTATTATTCAATACCGGAGATTCGCAGCGTTTGTTTTTCGAGCACACCGATCGGCAGTCGAAATAATCACAATCTTCATTCTTCTCGCAATTTTTACCATCGGCGATGATGCGATCGATGACGGTTTTAGGGAAGATCGCGTCCAGGTCTAAGAATTTCAATTTTTGTCCGCCGAGGGGTAAACCGAAATGATTGATCTTCACGTCGCAGAGATAAAGCGGCTCCGGGAAGTATATCTCCAGCTCTTCGAGCAGATTCAGGATCATTACGGCGAGTTTAAGCCTCTTGGCCCATTCGGGTTTCGAGTCGGATAGGGCTAGCACCGTCGTGGGCGTCTCGATCGGCCGGACGTACTCGACCGCGTAGAACGTGCCGCACGTGCCGATCGGTTGCGGGAACACGTCCCTATCCTCGTACAAAATCGCCATTAAATACTCGTTTTCCTGTAGTAACGGCCAGAGATTCTCCATCTCCAATCGACGTTTCACGGGATCGGTCTCGACACGATGGGTGCGTAACCGGGCGAGTCTTTCCAGCTGATGTTGCATGAGGGTCACGTTTAATTTATTGATAACCAAGTCTCTGATCATGACGACAAACTCCTCCTCGGACGGGAAGTGCCGCGAACCGCTCGTGTCCACCCAATAGAGCGACTCGAATTGCTCCGATGGTGTTTTGATCCTGAATCGAGATGAGATTTACATATGAGAGAGAGAGAGGGAGGAGAGAGAGAGAGAGAGAGAGAGAGAGAGAGAGAGAGAGAGAGAGAGAGAGAGAGAGTAGTAAG